AGGGCCACTGTTTTCTAGAGCTTGTGAATGTCCATCATTTTATCTGATTATGAGATTATCATTTTCTCAAACTTTTTATTGCTTCCTGGTTCTGCAGCCTAAGACTGACTGCTGATCACTCCCTGCTGTTCCCCACACTGTCAACCATGGCAGAGGCCGGTTCTTGATCGCACTGTGTTCAAAACGCCTTCACTTCTTCATCAGCAACTTCTGCTTATTTCAACTACCTGCAGTTTGATGGTAAAAACCCTTCTGACAGACAAATCTTCTTACAGTGATTCTGCCAGCAGGCTGCAAAGACTTATTCCAGAGCTTGAATACAGGTTCCAAAACCTGCAAGAGAGGATGGCGACCAGATTGGACGCAGAAAACCTGGGCCTCAACGCTCAACCCATGAATTAATATATATATAAATACATATATATATATATATTTACGCTTCAGCCTTGAACATGCAGATACTTGTGTGAAATCCTGTCCAATGGTTCCTGGGTGTAAGGTTGCACATCTTCTCATACTTCTGGCACTTGCCGACATCCCAAGGTCCCAGAAAAGCCAAGGTCAACCTACTCACCCCCGCCCGAGTTTCGGTCCCATTCATCAAAACGTCCGAGTTGCCAGGCTGCCGAGTGGCCAGGGATCTCAGTGGCGCCAAAAGTCCTTCAGGTGACTTTTCATTGGGTGAAGGAGAACGAGAAGTAGCAAACTGGAAATGGCTAAATTATCTAAAGAACACATGGAAGAACACATGGAAATGGTTAAAGAACAACTCCATTTTGTTTGTTCTTTCCAAACACAAAAGAACACATGGACCCTTTAAGTGGATCCTTGTGCATGAACTGGGCGAGAGAAAAGCACCCGTTGTTCACCGGGATTGTTGCATGGGGTTTGAGGTGACATGGACCTGTCTCAACATGAGGCACTCCTCCTTGAATTGATCCTCTCCGCTTCGATTTTCTTCATGGTGAGGTGATGTGGAAGGGACCAACTAATCTAATAGCGATGACCTCCAACCTACTAGCGATGGCCTCCAACCTGCTAGCGATGGCCTCCAACCTAATAGCGATGGCCTCGACTAAGCAATGATTCTCCAATTGATTGTTCTATTTGCACACAGATCCCCCTGTAGCGTAGGTATCAGTGGTCGAGATGTACCTACGTTGCGATGATGGACTGTCATCCTGGGTCACGTTTCCAACCTTCACATGGCCGAGATATTGGATATCCGAGCAGCCAAACCAAAGGAAACCTCGAACCACCCCTTAGGTGCAAGACCCTGGCGGCCACTGCCGAGAAGGCCACCTGCAATGTGCTCAACGGTGGAAGCGGCACGGTGAGCTCTGGGGTCTGTGCATGCAAGTCTCCGATCACCAATGAACACACACAGGGTGCTCAGCAACAGTAGTTGGGGAGGTTGAAACATGACGTTTGGGGGAAGGCCCACATACACGGCCCACGGCCGAAATATAAGGTCCACAGGTAGTCACTACCAGTATCAGGTAGTGACATGTCCACATAGATGATTCTGTTATAAAGTCTTTGGCTGGCTTTAGCAACCAATACAGGCAGCTTGTGGCGCAAGTCTTCGTCGGAGACGCGGCTCCGAGACGGTTGCCCGAACAGGCCAAAGACGCCCCGGTAGGCGTGACAGAGCGCAACGAGTTTCTGGCGGGTGAAGTCGATATTTACCTACGTACTAGTGATGGCCTCCAACCTAATAGGGATGGCCTGCAACCTACTAGCGATGGCCTCTAGTGATGGCCTCCAAGCTGATCGCGATGGCCTCCAACCTACTAGCGATGACCTCCAACCTCAGCGATGGCCTCCAACCGTTGGGGTCATGGTCCTCTTGGGATCGCAGTGCCGCCTTTGATTTTTGGCAGGGAAGAAGGACATGCTGCGCATGTCCCTGTTGAAGGTGGCCAATTTGATATTTTAAATAGTGACGGACACATACTTAGAACTTAGAACCTACTCATTTTTTCCAAACGATCCGGACCGCTTACTTAGAACCAGAAGGGCCAGGTGATACTTAGAACCAAAAAACAACAGCAGAACAATACTTAGAACCTGTGAAAGCCATTGTACTCTACACAGGTTCATAAGTATGTGTCCGTCACTTTAGTATAAACTCTATATATATATAGTGTGAGAAGAAAGACGTGCAATACAGCTGGGGAAAAAGACTCGGGCTTGATCTCCTTTTCCATTGTGCTCCTCAAATGGTTTGTGGAAAGCATTCATAGAATAGCAAAATGCAGCATAACTTTGTGTCTTTGCTAGGGAGAAACTTGTAGTTTCATCCTTGCTTTAGTTCTAAGTGCGCACTCGGGATTTTGCTTCCAAGTAGGGTGCTTTGGTTCTATGCGCATGCACTTAGACCCGTTCTGCTGTGGAAAAAACGTTTTTTCATGTTTTCCAAATGAGGTTCTAAGTATCAGTCCGTCACGATACGCACCTAACGTCCAGTTGTGCATTTGTTGGCACCCTCTCCGCACCACGAGTTTGTCACTGATCCAAGGCACTGGTAGTGGCTGGACAATGGCGCTCCCTTTGACCACCGGATTCAATTATGATCAATTATGATACTGTGATTTGAGTCCTAGACCCTCATAAACATGAAGGGTACCACTAGTTTTGGCTCAAGTAAATAGGAGCGTTGCTACTTTCTGTTCATGGTAGCGGAGCGCTCGGTGCGACTCCGGTAGATGTTCACCCTTTGGGAAACCCTTCGGACTCGTTTGTGCCAGCAAAGGGATCAGGCTGCTGTGAGGGTACTGAGGTTGTGGCGCCGGTTGATTAATCGGCTGTTCAGGATTCGGAGGCTTAAACGCATCTTCGGATACCTGGGACATCATCTCCAAGACCTGATTGCCAGCCAGGCATTCAGGCAACGGCTGTTGAATTCTCGGTTGACTCAACCGGGAGCAGCTGATCAGTAATGGCCACCCTCGAGCAGATCGCGGCCCAGGTTGTAACCTTGAGGAATGAGTTGAATGAGAGTCGAAGGAGAGAAGAGGACTTGAACAATAGGCTTCAGGCGGTTCAGAGTACAGGAGCTATGCAGGCAGCTTTGCAGGAGATGGTCAACACGCAGAAGGCCATCCTGGAAGCGTCCAAGAAGCCAGATAAGAACTTGACTCTGGTGGACAACCGCGGTTTGGCAAAGCCAAGCAACTTTGATGGTAACTCGGATTTCCTCCAATGGAAGATCCGGTTGGAAGCTTTTGTTGAGTCCGTTCATGGTGACTTCGGCCAAGCCATGGGCAGAAGACGAAACAGATCCAATCAGCAAACGCATCCATGAATGCCGAGTTTGGTGAGACTACTCCGGCACAGGAGACAATACCAGACCTGGAATCAAAAGATGCACAACTTTACGCTGTTCTCCAAACCCTTTGCGAGAAAGAGGCATTTACGCTCGTGAGAAGCGCAGGTAAGAGTAAAGGCTTGGAAGCTTGGAGACGACTGTGCAAGCGGTTCGGTCCTTCGACTGGAGGTCGTCGGAGGGCACTGCTTCGTTCGGTGCTGAGTCCGAACCGTTGCAACAAAGTCGAAGAGTTGAGCGCAGCTGTCGAGAACTGGGAAGACCAGGTTTGACAATACGAGAATCGACGAAAGGCTGATGGCTCGAGACCAACTTTGGATGAGGACATTAAGATCTCCATCTTGGAGTCTATTTGTCCGGTTGAAGTTGAACGACATCTTCAACTCAACCAAGCACGCTTTGCAGACTATCTCGAAGTCCGGAAGGAACTCTCCACGTATTTGGAGATGCGCATTGGACTGAAGCTCAAGTCTGGTGGCGGTCATTCCAGTGTTCGGATTACAATGGGCCACAGCCCATGGACATAGGCGCACTTGCAGGCGGAGACAAGAAGAGTGCCACATGCCACAACTGTGGTAAGCTCGGACACTACAAATCCGAGTGTTGGGCTCCCGGCGGAGGTAAAGCGAACTCCAAAGGGATTCCTAAAGGCAAAGGACCGAAGGGCAGCCCGCCCTCCGGACCAAAAGGCTCAAAAGGTTCCCCGAAAGGTAAAGGAGGCAGCAAAGGAGGAGGCAAGAAAGGAGGAAAGAAAGGAAGTGGAAAAGGAAAAGGCAAAGGAGGAAAAGCCATAGGAAGCGTCGAGGCTGAGAAGGAACAAGAAGGCGAGGAGCAGGCTGGATCGTGGGACGCCGGCGGTTGGGACGAAGGGGACTCGGGTTGGTACGGCGACTGGACCGAAGACGCGGGCTCAAACCCAGAAGGCACAATTCGTTGGTGTTGGGAGCACTCCATCGCACCCGATCCAATATGGGTAGCAAAAGCGACCAGCTTCAAAGAAAGAGGATTCGAAGGAGGCTCAAAAGAAGCCATCCTACGATAGGGTTCACCTCGACATGGACCTTGCGACTGCCATGAAGCGATTCACGGCAGAAGATTTCAATCGCATGCCGGTTGAAGGCCAAGGCAGGTCCTCACTTGCTGACTCCGGAGCTGGATCCTCTGGGGATCGGTCAGTCGACGTGATGATTATGCGGCTGATCGAAGAGAACTACAAGCTGCGTGATCAGCTCAAGTGCCAGGAAGAGAAGGAGACCCGTGAGCGAGATTCGCGGGATCCTCCCAAAGAGCGTTCGCGATCGCCGAAGCGCGGACGTTCACCAAGAAGAAGGTCAAGCGCGAATCCACTGACGAGGAGGAGGAGCGCATCATCCGCGAGAACAAGCGTCGCGACAGGAGCAAGAGTAGACGTCGCGAGCGGAGCGCAGGCACCACTGAGAGCAGGAAGGAATTCCTCAAGCTTGCGGACGAGACCACAAAGCCTAAGTCGGCGCCGCCGAGGCGAGCACGTTCCACGAAGCCGGAACGGCGTACGCCAAAAGGGAGTGTTGGCGTCTTCATCAAGGAGAAGGCCACGAGGAGCGAGGAGACTCCGACCGCTTCGGAAGGAGGTCCTCAGAAGCCAGACAAGCGCCGCCCTCGTGAGCCGGCCTATCCTCCCGGGGTGAAGTCGATGGAATCCCCGGAGGAGCGCGAAGCGAATAAGCGCGAGCGTGAAGGGTCCGAGAAGAAGGAGAAGAAGCCTAAGGTGAAGGCAATGCCAGCGAAGGTGAAGGCCAAGCCAAAGGCCCCGGATTCGAAGTCGGATTCAAAGCCGGCCGGCGAATTCCGGATTCACCAGCGGTGCATTGGGGATGCTTCGATCCGCACTTGCATCGAACCTCTCCTCAGAGATCGAAACTGAGGAGGATCCGAACAAGAAGGCCGAGCTGGAGAAGCAGAAGAAGGAGCCCCAGCGTGACACGCCTCGCCAATCGATCAAGATCACCAAGGACAACATGCACGACCAGAGCTTCCACGACTCCAGGTACTATGCTGACGTGGCAGCTGGCAAGCCGCATCACATCGCCTGGAAGAATGAGAAGGGCCGCTGTCGGGCAATCCTGGACCGGCGAAGCGGTTTGGTCGATCGAGTGTCAGAGAAGCTTGAACTTGATGACAAGTGGCACTCCAAGCATAGCGCGCCAGACACTGGCAAGAAGCGCAAGGATCTCGATGGCCTCAACGCCAATGTGGAGACCGAGGTTTTGGACGATCGCAAGGACAAGTCGAAGCCGATTGAACGTCGAGATGAAGCCGTGCCCATGAGCCGGAAGGAACGCGAATCCTTCCAGCAGTTTCCGGATGACGAAAAGGCAGCGCTTGAGCGGCCAACGACCCGCAAAGCAGCTGAGCCTCGCATCCGCGGAAAGGACTACTACAAGCGCAAGCGCGCTCGGAGCCCGTGGCGGATTGCTGATCCCAAAGGACTCCAAGGCTGGAAAGGAGTATTCAGCTTTCATGGAAAAGCTCCATAAGAAGCATGGGGGAATGACTCCGGTGCGAATGCACAATGCGATCTACCTCATGGACTTTTTGGATTGCGCCCGGATCGAAGGAAGGCTCCGACTCTTTTGGCGGGCCTCCCAATCGGGTGTAAGTCCGGAACTCCAACCATTGGAGGATGCTCCAGCCGCGTCGGCCGGGGCACCCGATGAGGAATCGGGAGAAGAGGTTGGAGAGGAGCAAGCGCAGGTGATCGTAAAGCGGTCACCGGCGCTGCTGGGCACGTTGTTCACCGGAGCTGGTGCGTCCACTGCCAAAGGGCCTGCGTAACGGGTCCGCGACATCCGCGTGGACTTGCAGCTCAGGACGAAGAGGGTAGGATTCCGCATGTTTCACTCGACTACTGCTACATGAACGCAGGGCAGGAAAAGAGAAGCGACTCGGAGAGCGACGGCATTTTGCCGTGCTTGATTGTGAAGTGTCACAAGACGGGTCGTTATTGGGCGAACGTGGTTCCATCGAACGGGGCAGATTTGTTTTCTGTAGTGTGGTTGAAGGCTTGCCTCAATGAGACAGGTTTCAATGAGCTTGTTTTGAAGAGTGACAACGAGCCAGCCATGCTTGCTCTGAAAGGCAAAGTGAAGGAGGAAAGTAAGCTGAAGATTCACATGGTTGAAGCACCAGTGGAAGACCATCAAGCAAACGGGTACATTGAGGTCGGTGTATGGGAGCTCAAGCGTCAGGTGAGGGCCATCTTATCTGACCTGCAGGAACGACTTGGGTTCGAGGTTGAGCCAAGTCATCCATGCATGATGTGGCTGCCACGGCACGCCGCATATCTTCGGACCCGGTTTCGCATTGGGCCAGATGGAAAGACTCCCTATGAAAGAACCTTCGGAAAGAAGTGGGGGACTCCTTTAGTGAGCTTCGGCGAACACATCTTGTTCAGGCCAAGGCCACTTCGTGATGGTCGACGACGCGATCTTGCACCAAGAGTTTCAATGGGGATGTATGTTGGCACAGGGTTGCGCAACAACGACGTCTTCGTCATGACCGCGAGGGGAATAGTGAAAGGTAACACTATCACTCGAAGACCTCCCGAAGATCAGTTCAAGTACGAGAACTGGAGTGAACTCCGGGGAGTTCCCTGGAGACTCCAGGCCCGTGAGCCTGGCGAGGTTCGAGTTGACCTGCCAGTCGTTGCGGGGCCAATGACGAGGCCACCAGTTGAGGAGGTGATTCCGAGGAATCTCTATGTGACGAAGAGCGACAACGACAAGTTCGGTTACACCCCACTGTGTCCAGGTTGTGAGGCACAGTTGATGGGAACGGGTCGCAGAGCTCATAACCCAGAGTGCAGGTTTAGGATTGAGAGCGAGCTCATGAAGACCGAAGAAGGAAAGCAGAGGATTGAAGCTGCAAAAGCTCGGATTTATGCCGGGCGACGCCCTAAGGCTCCAAGAGTTGGAGGTGGGGCTGGCGAGCCAGAGGTTGTGGAAGCTGCCAGCGTTCCCGCGTTGGTAGGTGTTCCAGAGCCTGATGCCGAAATGGCCTTGGGAGAAGCTGTTGGAGAGCCACTTGAACGAGTTGCACGCCGCGAACTCGAAGACCGAGGAGAACATCCCGGAAGCCCAAAGAAGAAACAGAAGTCCGGCGGACATCGGACAAAGCGAAGTGCACAAGCAGACATTGAAGAGCTGCATCACCAGATGCAGGATGAAGCAGCCGCGTCTGCAGTTACAGATGATGATGGGGCAGTGGTAATGGGACCACTCCCATCGGCTGGGAGCACAGGTCCTCAGCCACCAAGAGTTGCAGTCGCAGCTCCAGACGCTTCATCTGGAGGCAGCGGCACCATGGATTTAGGACATCTTTCAGTTTGTCTTTGTTCTGTTTTGAGAGATGCCCGCAAGAAGGGCAACGTACAGAAGACTGTTTCAGAGATCTTTTCACCGCCAAGAGTTTCAGCGCAAGCCCAATTGGTTGGATTGCGTCCTGGATTTGCAATCGACCTTGAGACCAAGCGAGAAGACGGAAGTCATTGGGATTTGAGCAAACATTCACACATTGAGGATTTGTTTTCACTGCTTGAGAAGGAGAAACCCAAGCTTTTAGGGGGTTCACCACCTTGTGGACCATTCTCACAGCTCCAGAACTTGGTCGACATTCGGAATCATGTTCCTCAGTCGGTCAGGTCACAAAGTTTGCAAGAAGGCAAGAAGCATCTGCGAACTTCAGTGCGCGCCTATCGTGCACAGATGGACGCAGGCCGCTACTTTTTGCACGAGCATCCGAAAGGAGCACGCAGCTGGGAAGAACCAGTCATCAAAGAACTTCGAGACGATCCACGTGTCTACGAAGTTGTTGGGCCCATGTGTAGGTGGAAAATGGAATCAGAAGACGTGTGGGGCAAGGGCCTGGTGAAGAAAGAGACCAGGTGGCTGACCAACTCGCCGCACTTGGCAAGGACGCTATCTGGCGTATGCTCCAAAAGCCAAGGCAAGACATGGCACCGACACGTCAACCTCATCAACGGTCGGGCAAGATCGGCACAGGTCTACCCGCCACTGTTGGTTCGAGGGATTCTTGAAGCGTTGAGAAACCAACTTGCTGAAGATGGTGAGTTCAGCCAAGCTTTGAACCCGCTAGGTGCTGGACCGGTACCAGATGCCGCTCCGGTCATAGATGAAGAGCAAGAGGTCTTTGACCATCTTCCTTCCGCTGACGTGACAGTCACCGGACCAGTCTACGACGCCAATACTGGTGCAGAGTTGGACTTGGAGAAAGTGGCCGCCGCTAGGAAGGAGGAGTTGGACTGGGTTCAACGCCAGTGCATCTACAAGAAGGTGGACGCAGAAGATGCTCGAAAAGCTGGAAAAGTTCCAATTACAATGAAGTGGGTTGATCGCAACAAGGGCGACAACGAAAGACCCAACTATAGATCTCGCCTTGTTTGTCGTGAGATCAAGAGAGCCCACAATGCAGAATACATTCCAGAGTACGCAAGCTTTAGTGCAATGCCACCTCTGGAAGATTTGAAAATTTTGCTTTCTTTGATGGTCACGCTGAAGGTTTCTAAGCGTAACCGCAAACCGTTGAAGGTTCGGCTGATTGACATCAGCAGAGCCCATTTTTACGGTCAAGCACAGCGTGAAGTTTTTGTCACCCTCCCCGAAGGTGATCAAGAAGAAGGCAAGGTAGGACTGTTGTTGAAGAGCATGTATGGCACGCACGATGCAGCCAACATTTGGCAGCAATCCTACACTGATGTTTTGAATCGAGCCGGATTCAAAAGATCTGCTGCTTGGCCAGCCATCTTCTTTCACGAGAAGCTGGAGGCAAGGCTGTTAGTCCACGGTGACGACTTTGTCATCTTGGGCGACGATGCAGTGCAGCAACATGTCGAAAATGCATTAAGAGAAGCATATGATCTCCGTGTTGACGGAAGCATAGGTGTTGGAGAAGCTAAGCAGGAGTTTTGCATCCTGAACCGTCTCGTACGCTTCGACGAGAGGTCAGGAACCATCTTCTACGAGCCAGATCCACGCCATGCAGAGATTTTGCTGAAGGACCTCAATATGATATATGGAGACTTGCAAACCAGTGAAGAGTCCAAACGAAAAGTTGACAGCAGAAGGATTGGCAAAGAGGATGGAAGTTGATGTTGTTGATCCTCATCGGATCAGCCAATACCGTTCTCTCACAATGCGTGCAGCGTTCCTAGCTCAGGACCGCCCTGATTTGTCAGAGACGGTCAAGTGTTTGGCAAGGAAAATGCAAGGTCCAACCGAAGCTGATTTCGGAGACCTCAAACGTCTTGCCAGATATTTGAAAGGAACAATGCGCATGGTATAAAAGTTTACTCCGCAAAAGTTCAGCGATGTCGTTTCAGTTCAGAGAGTCGTGTTTTTGGGGTGTTGGATGTGGCCGTGCCATTGGGATTTGCGTTTCAGGGTGTGGCGTCGAAGCTCTGTTTTCGTGACAAGTCTCAGCTGAAGTGGCGATTTTGGTGGACGGGAGTGTGCTCAGAACGGGTCGAAATCATTCCAAACGCGTGGTGTGGTGCAAATTTTGTTGAAGCTCACATGAGATGATATGGTCACTTTTCGTGGCAGGCGCAGTACTTTGTGCGGGCTTTGAGGTGTGGCGCGATTTTCGTGGCAGGCGCAGGTAATCGTGAGGTGACGGAGGTGACATTTCGTGGCAGGCGCAGTACTTTGTGCGCGTTAGACGTGTGTGGTAGAGGTGAATGTCGCTGTCGCATTGGGATTGGCATGTGAGCGGGTGTTGTTGGGAGGGGCAGACCGCTTGACTTTTGGAGGAAGTCTCGTACGAAACGCTCGTTTTGCAGACTTTGACATGTGAGTTTTTGAGGAATTAAGTCTCGTACGAAACGCTCGTTTTGGAGACTTGACGCGTGACTTTTGGAGGAAGTCTCGTACGAAGCGCTAGTCTTGCAGCCTCGAAGCGTGACTTTTGGAGGAAGTCTCGTACGAAACGCTCGCATGACTGCTTCTAGTGTGTGGGCAGACCGTGTGGCGACACGACGCTCGTGATGTCGCAGTGCCATTGGGATTTGCGCAGCCTTGGTGGAAAGTGCGTTTGTGTGGCGCCGTGCCACTGGGGAGCGCGAAACAGGCTGGCGTAAACGTGGCGTGTCACTGGTGAGCGGGGTGATATGTGGTATGATGTGACATGTTTGCTTCAAGTGTGAGACCGTGTGGCGACACGACGTTCGTGATGTGGGATTTGTGCGGCCTTGGTGGAGAGTGCGTTTGCGTGGCGCCGTGCCACTGGGGAGTGCGAAACAGGCTGGCGTACACGCGGCGTGTCGCTGGTGCTATCATGTGACATGTTTGCTTCTAGTGTCTGCGCAGACCGTGTGGTGACGCGACGTTCGTGATGTCGCAGTGCCATTGGGATTTGCGCAGCCTTGGTGGAAAGTGCGTTTGCGTGGCCCCGTGCCACTGGGGAGCGCGAAACACGCTGACGTAAACGCGGCGTGGTATCAATGTGATATGTTTGCTGCAAGTGTGTGGGCAGACCGTGTGGCGACACGACGTGATGTTGCAGTGCCATTGGGATTTGTGCGGCCTGGGTGGGAAGTGTGTTTGCGTTGCGCCGTGCCACTGGGGAGCGCGAAACAGGCTGGTGTAAACGCGGCGTCTCGCTGGTGAGCGGGATGATTTGTGGTATCATGTGACATGTTTAACATTGCTTCTAGTGTCTGGGCAGACCGTGTGGCGACGCGACGTTCGTGATGTCGCAGTGCCTTTGGGATTTGTGCGGCCTTGGTGGAAAGTGCGTTTGCGTGGCGCCGTGCCACCGAGCGCGAAACATGCTGGCGTAAACGCGGCGTGTCGCTGGTGAGCGGGATGATTTGTGGTATCGTGTGACATGTTTGCTTCTAGTGTCTGGGCAGACCGTCTGGCGACGCGACGTGTCCCAAAAGAGTGCCCCGCAAGAGCTTCCTACAAGAGTGACCCACAAGAGTGTCCTACAAGAGTGTCCCAGATAGAGTGTCCCACAAGAGTGTCCCGTATGAGTGTCCCACAAGAGTGTCCCGCAACCGTGTCCCACAAGAGGGCCTCACAAGAGTGTCCCTTAAGAGTGTCCCACAAGAGGGCCTCACAAGAGTGTCCCTTAAGAGTGTCCCACAAGAGTGTCCCACAAGAGTGTCCCACAAGAGTGTCCTACAAGAGTGCCCTACAAGAGTGTCCCACAAGAGTTTCCTACAAGAGAGTCCCCCCACAAGACCGTCCTACAAGAGTGCCCTACAAGAGTGTCCCACAAGAGTGTCCTACAAGAGCGTCCCACAAGAGTGTCCCACAAGAGTGTCCCACAAGAGTGTCCCGCAACAGTGTCCCACAAGAG